CCCTGTGAGACACACTGTGTCCAGCCTGAGGCCAAGTGAGACCTGTGCTGTCACTGGGCTGCTGGCTGTCAGGGAAGGCGGCTTTCTGACGTGTACACAGGTGGTCATCTACCCACGGAGAGACTCCGAGAGGAGTGTGCTGGGCCTGACCTAGGGGAGGTTTGGGGAGGGGCATCTGGACGCTGGCCCCAGGGACTCAGGTTAGCAGGCCGTGCGTGTCAGGATCAGCTGAGGGTGCTCATTCAATTGTTCTGTCCATTGGCCGCCTCCATCCTCAGAGCCCTCCCCAGGCCTCACACACAGCAGCGTCCCCACAGAGCCGCTAGGACCAGCCTGCTTGGCTCAGACACAGGAGTGGAAAGGAAATTACGCACGTGCTGTGGGACAGCCTGGCGGTTCCTAAATGGTCAAACGTGAAATTTCCATGTGGCCGACAACTGCAGCCCCGGGACCATGCCCAGGGAAGGAGCACCCTTGTACCAATGGAAACCTGGGTGTGATGCTCAAGAGAGCACTGAGCTCCACTGACAAAGAGTGGACACAACCTGAGGCCCCTACCGACAGTGGACAGACGGTGTGTAGCGGTCCACCTCCACGGGGTGCAGCTCTCACACGGGCTCCCGCAGGGACCAGTCGTGAAAACGGCCTAGAGTTCATGCTGATGGTAGAGTGGCTCCAAGTTACCCAAACCACTGAACTTAGACAGGTGGGCTGTGCGGTCACTGAGTTAGTTACATCTCAGAGTTGACGTGAAAAATACATTCTCCCGCACAACCACGGGGGGCGCTGCTATGTCGAAGCCCAGGGAGAAGACGGAGGCGAGGCTGGGGCGCCGCCCTGCCCTCTCCCACGCCTCCCACCTGGGAGCCAGGGCAGAACTTGGAGGAGGAGAGCTGTGGTTTGGGGCAAGTCAGAGGGAAGGACCAGCCATCCCCGGAGAGAGGTTTCCGTGACAACCCACAGGAGGAAGGATACAAGACCTGTGGTCTGGCTGTCAGAGCACCTGTGGGTGCCTGTGGAGAGGCCCTCCTGCCCACACCCGGGCCAGCGGCACAAGCCACCTCGCCTCCCATCCTCAGTCACTATCCCTGGGGGGACAGGCGTGTCCAGGGCCATGAAGGGTTCAGAAGTCAAGCTGAGCCCCACCTCCTGGACCAGCAGCTACACCGCTCACTTCCCTCCCAGGTCCCTCAAAATGCTGGCCTCGGAGGTCAGCCTGGGATCCCACAGGTCAGGCCTGTAGGGAGTGAGGTCCCCTGGGCTGGGCTGAAGCCACATGGCTCGCGCTGGGATGAGTGCACTTCCTGGGACCTCCCTGAACCTGAGCGGGGGCAGGGGAAGGGGCAGGCGTCTGGGACGAGCGGACATGGCCCCCCGGCCCTGCCCACGCGGGGGCTCCTGGCAGCTCACTTTCCTCCCAAGACAATTCAGGATGTTGTGCAACTTGGAGCTGCCAGGTCATCTTTCTGTTCTGAGGCCAGAAACGCAGGAAAAGGCCTTCTCAGGACATGGGTAGCCTGGCTCACTGCGGCTCTCACACCTTCCACTCGCTGGAAACCGAGAGACTTAGAAATAGTACTGGAAGCTTTCCACTGCCCGCATCAGCTGGCCCGGCCGAGAGCCCACCCGGGATGCAGGTGGTCATGGAGGAGGTCAGCACCCAACGGCTGACGTGGACAAGCTCTGTGACGGCAGCTGTCGGGTGCACAGACGTCCCGCCCGCTTTCCCACGTCCGTGCCAGGAAAGTCTGGAAGGAGCCTCTCTTCCCCCATGCCAAGTCGCCAAGTCGCCAAGTTGCCAAATCATGGCTTCCGGGGGTGTGAGCCGCACCGCACGCCTGTGTGTTGGATCTGGGGAATTTCCAAACGTCCTCAGAGGCCTTGTGTCGAGGACACAGGTCTACAGCCTGCAGCCAGGACACACGGGGCTCCCGCACAGCCCCAGCCTGGGATCGGACCAAGGAAGACGGGCTGACCACTGGCTGGGGCTGCACTGAGTCCTCCCAGCTGGAGCGCCAGTTGGATGACCAGGGCGAGCGAAACACGACCTGCATGGCTCTGGCCCAGCTGCGAATGCATCAGGGAGAGAGTTGGGGGCACCCAGACCGCCAGGTGTCACTCATGGCCCAGCCAGCACAGCCAGGGCGCAGGCCACAGCCCCTAAGGCAGCGAGGGTGGGGGCGCTCACACACTCCACGCACACACCCGGACACACCTGCTCACACTCAATACCAGACACACACCTGCTCAGTTACCCAACCTGCTCACACTCACACATTCACTCACATACACCCTGCACACACTACTCCTGAACTGGCCCTTCGGGCCCAGGTCCCGATGACGGGCCTTGCTTGTCTCACACACTGTCCCCCACAGTGAGGACACCCACTTGATGCCTGTGCTGTGAACAGCTTCATATTTAACAAAAGTAAACTTGCAAAAGAGTCTCATTCACCCCTGGGCTCTGAGAGCACCACGCTGATTTAAGATCTACTTAGTTCCTTATATTCCAAGGGCTGTAAACGTGGGACCCACAGCTGGTCACTCCGTGGGCTGCAGGCAGAGCCTGCGAGACCCCTTGGTAGAGGTGGACCCCAGAGGCCCCAGGCACTGGGGCACCACCCCTGGGCCTTCTGTACAACTCAGTGAAAGGCCTGAGAAAAATCCCAGGCTCTTCTGGCAGCAGCTGTGTGGCTCGCCATTCACCATTCTGTGACACTGCTCTTGAGGTCCTCGTGGCCCCTCGCTGACCACGGGGGCCTGGCCGACATCCACTGGAGGGGCCTTGTACCCAGTGGCTGATCACCATTGCGGTCCTCCATCAGGATCCCTGCAGCCACTGGACAGGCACCCCTCCCTCGGAGCAACGCCGGCTGTGGCCACCTGCAGGGCGGGAGGAACTGCTCCGGGAAACAAGTGGAGCAGCTGCGCGCAGTAGGGATTCCCACAGGAGCTGGGCAGCCATGCCCAAGGCGGGGAACAGCCCTGGGAGGGTGATGCCCACCAGAACCACTCCTGCAGCCGCTGCGGTGACCTTTCTGAAAACGTGTGGGAATCACTCCCTTCTGCAAACGTGACGTGCGCATACACGTGTAAACACGCAAACAGCTTTACTTAAATCCAACGTGAAATTACCGCTTCAGAAGCATGATGCCGTGTTTGCATTTCGCTTGTCACAGGTGCAGGACGTTTATGTCATGTCTAGTCTCAGCCCACTTGTTTGTGTCTCGCCTTCTGCACCAGGCGCCCAGCTGCTGCAGGAGACGGTGGGGGAGGACACCCCACCCCTGACCAGAGCAGGAGAGGGAGCCTGGCACCTGGCCAGGGAAGCCCCCGGGAGGCCCCGGCAAGGACGACTGGGCATCCTGAGCTAAGCTCCCTCCACGGAGGGCAGGGGCTGACTTCACGTGGCACCTGTGAGGCCACGAAGTGAAGATGACATGGTGACGGAGTCCACAGCGTGGCCGTGGGGAGCGGCCTGCAGCAGGGCCCCCAGGGTGCCCACGGAAGGCTGAGAGCCTCCAGGAGACACCGCCGTTCCCACCCTGGAGGCAGGGAGATGTCGGTCAAGGAAACCGTGAGGAAAGCTGCTCCGAACTCCCCTTTGTGCAAGTTCTGGGCACAGTCTCCCTGAGACTGGTCCTGCCCCAGCATGGACGAACACACATTTAAAGCTCAAAAGGTCAAATTATTTCAAAATCAACGTCCTCTGAAGAAGGGTGTTCCGGAAACTCAAGTTCCTCTCCTCATCACACTTAGCTGGTTTTCTCCATGATTTAAGACACGTTTTCCAATTATGCGCGTGATTATATAGCAAACCACGTTAAACGGGAAAGACTTTTAAGCCCATTCTGATTGAAGCACTTAATTTTCCTGCAAACTGTACAAAATCAAGACCCATTATGGAGGCTGAATGCTCTGCAGTTTCGGTGGTTAGCACGAGGCCGGCCCGGTGCTCTCAGGAAAATTCCAGTTGGGAAACTTGAAAAGGAAGAAACAGGCCACCAACCTGGGCACCTGCAGGCTCCCCTCTCCCCGGGTCAGGGCGGAGGCTGCTCCGCATACGGGGGTCTGGCGCCCACCACAAGCCCTGGCGAGCTCTCGTTCTCGCATGTCACCCACGGGGGGGCTCGGGGGCTTCTCCTCAGACTCAGCGGGGATCCAAGGGGCAGGAGTGGTGCCATCCCTACATCTATCCAGAGGAAAGACTCTCACTTTGGTCCCTCAGCTCTCTTTTCAAACACAGGCACAGACGTCTACACTTCCCAGTACAGGTGAGGTCTACACTCACCTACACAGGTGACGCCCACAGGTGCTCACAAAGCTGAGGTCTACACAAGTGCACACAGAATGGCTGGGGCCCTGGAGGCCACCGGTCACAAAGAGAACAGATGCTCTGCGTTGGCATCTTGAGGGGGCACCAACACGATGGGGGAGCTGGGGATGATGGGGCTGGGAAGCTTCGTGGGCCTGCTGAGGGTTCCACTGGCTACTGTGGCCGCTCTGCACCTGGACACCTGCCTCTGAGGGTCTGTGATCCCGAGAAAGACCCCATCGACACTGGAGGCGCCTGCCCCGTCCAGCAAAGTCCAGGCAAAGGGCCACCACCCAGCACGGCACCCAGGAGGCGGCCCCACTGCAGCCCCTCTGACACCAGCAGCGTGTGAGGTGGGCCCTCAGTGACGTCAGAAATAAACCTTCCGTCAGCACAAACACTCATGGCCGGAGACACAACCCCAGCGGTCATGGCCCAGGCAGACCTTCACGCCCTCGCCCACCTCCACTNAAACCTTCCGTCAGCACAAACACTCATGGCCGGAGACACAACCCCAGCGGTCATGGCCCAGGCAGACCTTCACGCAGACCTTCACGCCCTCGCCCACCTCCACCNGGTCATGGCCCAGGCAGACCTTCACGCCCTCGCCCACCTCCACTTCCAAGACCCAGCCCCCCAGCGCCCACATGGGAAACACGACCATGTCTGTCTCTAAGGAGACTACCTGGAGCTTTCTCCACGAAGATGACCTTGGAGTCCTGCAGGAAGTTGTGTCCCGACAGGACCATTCTCTTCCCGCCCAGGACAGGGCAGCTGGCCACGCTCTGCTTCTCCACCAGGGGCAGCTCCTGAGCCGACCGCTGGGCTGCGGGGTGAGAAATGACAGCGAGTGAGACGCTGCGGGCCTCCCGTCCCCAGGGCTCCCCAGGGGCCCGTCCTCGGGAACCGATGCCTTCAAACGGCTCCGCTGGTGACCGCACTGGTCAGTGTGACCCATGAGAGGACAACACACAGTCACACACCTCATGGTGCTGGGAGCGGCCACACCTCTGGGGAGGCAGGGCAGGTACAGTTTTTGAGGGTGAGCCACACACACAAGTTCTCACACACTCCCAGGGGTCCTGCCCAACAGAGGAGGCCACACCTCAGAAGGGCCTAGGGTGTGGGGCAGGCGTCTGTGAGATGACGTGTGGGGACCAGCAGGAGCGGGAGATGGGACAGCTAGGAAGGACCGTCACAGAGCAGGGGCCTGGGGCGCAAGGGGAGGAGCCCCATCCCTGAGTCCGTCTGACCTTAGAGTCAGCAGCAAAGGAACTAAGATGCTCCTGCTGAGGTAGGCGGGCAGGTGAGTGTGAGGACAGGTGAGTTTCCTAAGAGCCCACACCTGGGGGGGGTCCATTCAGAGATGAGGGAAGCAGGAGGGGCCGCTGGGCAAGGAGCAGTTCTGACATGGCCAGTGGGTGGGCCCGGCCCACCAAGCTCCCTGGGGGGACCCCAATAGACCCAGCCTGGGGTCCCACTCTCAGACAGGGAAAAGGCTGTGGGGCGTAGGGCACCCAATTTGCTGACAAAAACTAGCAAAGTCATTGATAGAGGAAGGACCCCACACCGCGGGAGAGCAGGACCCCCGGGGACGCTGGGGGTTACACTCCGCGTCCCGAGTCCCTGACCCAGGAGGGGATTAACACGGGTGCCACCCACGCAGGTGTCTGGATTTCAGACACTTCCTTTCACTTTTATTCCCCATCAGTGCTGGGACCAGGTCCAGGCCCCAGGCCGAAGCTGCTGCCCCGTGTCTGCCAGAGGAGCGGCTGGGCCGAGACGGCACAGGAGACCGTGCCCAGCCGCCGGGATGCCCCGCTCATGGCTGCAGTAAGGGTGAGGACCACGCTGTGGCGTGGCGGGGTACTCACAGCACTCGATGGGGTTGGAGGCCACCTGCAGGGACAGCGTGCGGCCGCTGGGCTGCGGGATGTGGACCCGGAACACCAGCCGCACGCGCGTGTTCTTCCTGCCAATGTCGGTCTCCCCCTTGCGCAGCTCAATGTCCGAGTTCCGGAGCTTCAGGATCCCCGCACAGTCGATGCTGCAGAACAAGAGTCCAAGAGTCGGCCTGCCTGCCAGTCCCCGCCCCACGAGCAAGACGCCCATCTCTGCTGCTCTGCCCTCCCCAGCCCGCCCATCAGGGATGGCGGCACACGGGGGGCGGGACACCCCTCGACGTCTACAGGTCCCAGTGAGGGGGCCGTGCACACAGCTCCCCCATTGAGTGGTCCCCCTCATCCACGCACCCCAACACAGGCAGGCCCAAGTGTCAGCCTGCCCCGGTCGCGTGGCCTGGAGGAACCCCAGCAGGACCTGCCGCTCCATCTCGCAGCTTAGTGTCTGTGGCGTCCCCAAAGATCCCAAACTTCCTATGGCTTCATATGATTTTGTTTAACTTCGCTGAACACTAGACTTCAGCAAAAACAGTCTGCATATAGACTGTCAGTGGAAACCAATGCTTTTCCTCAGGAAGCTGGAGGAGGCAGATGCTCAAACGCTCAGCTGGCAGCATCCCTGGCCCGTCAGTGGGGACTGGGGACCAGCGGTGGCTCCAGGCGCGGCCCCGGCACCTGGGAGGCTCACTCTCTAGAGCCACAGAAGTCACGGCTGCTGCTAAGGACCGTGGGCTCTCCCACCACCTGACTGCCTGGTCCTGGGGAAACTGATTCCAGCTCTTGAACCAAACCCACAGGCTGAGAATGAACTCAGAGGTGTGCAAATTCCCCAAACCCAGGAAAACCCCACATGGAGAGAAAGCTGTCCCTCTGTTTTCAACTTGCAGGGTGTAAAGTTCCAACACTTAAACCAAAATCCCACTCAAAGTTCCACACAGTGTGGCCCGGCCTGCCCTACCTCCCACACTGTCCCCAAAGTCTGCTGCCCCAGGACCTTCACACGTGCTACCTCCGGGCACACCCAGCTCGCTGCCTCAGGGACACTGTCCTGATCTCCGGGGGCTGCCACGCTCTGGCACACGACCCCAGGGACGTAAATCCCATGGGAGGACTGTGTTCTCTTTCTCAGTGATGTTCATAGCTCAGGAGAGACGTCCCCGGCCCGTAACAGTCACTCAGAGGACTCACGAAGCCATGAGGACGGGCCCTGATCCGATATGAGGAGCGTAAGTCTCCGTTTATAATGAACCCGCTTCTAAACTAGCGAGTCCGAGCTGGCTGCCTGTCCAGGCTTGGAGAGAATTCGGCCAACGTGTTCTCTTTAACTGCCTGTGTTCAATGTCTGCGTGTTAACTGTCCCAATTTGTGTCCTGTCTGGGAGCTGCATGCAGGCACGGGGGCACTCCTGGCTGCAGAACTGAGTATTTAACAGGCAACAAGCACAGCGGCTAAGACCCCAGAGAGACAAAAATCGTTGTAAATCTGTGACGTTTATTCACATGTCAGGCCCCTGAGCTATGGGGTGTGGGGTCTACGAATGCCGAGGACACAGCAGCTGTGCCCCCCAAGCGCCCAGCCACGTAGCGGGCAGTGCTTACATGGCTCGCATGTTGTTTTCCGGCAGGAGCGGGATCTCTAGGACTTTGGTGTTGGAGAGCACGGCTTCGTGGCTGGTGGTGGACACGGTCTTCCCTGTGATACGGTGGACCTGGTAGAAGGCGTGTGGCCGCAGCAGCCGGTCGTCCGCCGTCCCAATGAACAGCTGCAGTGTGAGGGGCTCGCTCTCCAGGTAGCCGTGGAGCTGGCGAGAGAACAAAGCCCCACTCAGCACCTGCGCACAGACCACTCAGAGGCAATTAAACTTTTATGAGCAGAGGCAGACTCAAAGGAAAACTGTGACAGGTGCTTGGGGCTGGCCTCTCCCGCTCAGCCCCTCGTTTCTGTGACAATGAAACCGGGAGCCTGCGAAGACCTCATCACCCCCACATCCCGGGGCACCTGGAGACGCGCCGGCTTTTAATGCTGCTGTGTTCAAACGCACGCATGCACACGGGTACCCACTCACGCGTGTGGACACATACACACGCAGCCACAGCCACCACTGTGACCCGCATGCAGTGATGACAGGGACCGTGCTCACGGCAGTGCTGTCTTCTCTGCAGGGCAAGCCGGCGGGAGGGAGCCTGGATACCCCCGGCACACGGTCCCTCCCGGCAGCAGCTGCCGGTTCCCCAGACCCGCTTCCCCTGCCCTGTGCGCCGCNGTGCCCCGCCAACTGCAAGGACACCCTCTGTCCGCCTGAGCCAGCGGCTGCTGTGAGGACCCCGTGTGGCTGGGCAGCCCCATCAGAAATCTGGGGATGCTAAGACTAAGCTGTTTGCCTGACAGAGTCGGACATGTGCCCAACAGGACAGGATCCGTTTCAAAACCGGCCCTCCTCTGCCCGGTTCCACACGATGTCCGAATCACAGACCGGCACTGACCGCCGCCGTATGCGCAGCGCCCGAAATGAATGTAGTTGCAGCTTCAAGTGAGTTCCCAGCGGCCCCGAGACACCCAGCACAGGCTCGCTCGGGGCCCGTGTCTATGATGTCCCCGTGAGCACTCGTGGCTGCCCATCAGCGCTGACGGTCCACACCCGTCACCTGTTGCCGAGTGGCCAGTGGAGGCCCTGAAGTTCCCCTGGGGGAGGCGACAGAGCCAGAGGAGAATGGTGCACTCAGAGGGCAAGTGCAGACATGTCCCCAGTCGGAACCACAGGGGACAGTCCACACATGTGCACTCACACACACTCACATGCACATTCACACTCAGACACACATGTGCACATGCATGCTCTCCACCCCCCACAAACACATAAACACACACGCCACGTGCACACTCACAGAGGCTCCCCCGACCCTCTGGAGCCCTGCGTTTGGTGGGGAGACTACACTCCCAGTTGCAGCGTGACCTACACACATCAGTGTCCCAGTCTCATCTGTCTGTGACACAGGCCCGAGCATTGTGGAGGAGATCGTCTTCCAAGCAGTCCTTTCGTATTGAAATAACCGAGTTTCACCCTGATCCTCAGGTCTCTGACACATTCAGACTAACGACAGTGCGAGAGACCTGTGCACACACACAGCCGTCTCCTGCCTGCGGCCAACACACCTGAGTTTCCACAGGGGAACCAGAAACACCGGTGGGAACAGGGAGTTGTGCTCAGCATGGGGCGGTCTCTCCCTCACCTGCTCCGTCCACTTGCTCTCCTGGCTGCGTGCAGGTAAAGACCAAAGCAGCACCTCTTGGTCTCCACAGAGAACCTGCCAGGAGCCAGCCCAGCACCTGGCTCTCACCTGTGGTCCCTCTTAACCTGAAGGAGTGATGTGTGTCCTGTGTGGACTGAACACCCTTCTCCAGGTGAAGACAGGAGCATCTGCACGGGAACTGTGTGCAGTCAGGACAGGAGACCGAGGCCTGCTGTCTGGGCCGCCCCTTCCCGTCTCCTTCTGGGGAGTGTGACTCCAGTCTGTGCCAATTTAGTGAACTCACCAAGAAACCTGACTCCACACTGGACCCAAACCTACATTTTATAATCAGAAAATGTAAAAGTAAAATCAGAGATTGATTAAGAGACGAATTTTGCCTTTCTGTGTTCTATTTTGAAAAACTTAATGCAAGAATATATAAATGAGTCTTTGGCCAAAACCTTGTCTGGTGGGGCTCAGGCGAGTTCCATGGAGCCAGGAGGCAGACACACGGGCCGGGCTGGGGTCAGGCGATGTGAAAATGACAATTTAAAATCCCCCCGGGACTCCCCCTGTGGAGAGTATCAGATGGTATGTGGTATGCAGTGGATTGTGGGTATAACTAGCCTTTTAAAAACATGCCATTTCAGTGAAAATGGGAATATATGAGGTTTAACTGGGAGGTAAACATCTATTATTTAAAACACGAAGTTCATTTTAAGGAAAGTAATTTAAATACTTCACATGTCACAACTGCATCGTTTTCTGCCTCCGGCACATTATGATACCTGCCAAGATAATATTTATAAAGTTACCTGTCATAACAATGACCTCTCTTTGCTAAACAGAATGCATTATTCCATTTCAAGGTGTAAGAGCTACTGAGTTTCCTACACATAACAATGTTTGTTTTTAGCTCCTGTGCTTAACTCAGCACTCACGCAGGAGATGATGGGGGAAGAGATTGAGGTCAAGTTTATTCAATGTTGAAACTCAAGCCGCGCGTGCATGCCCACACCCCCCACGCACACACGGACACATGGACACACACACGTGCGCCATACGTGCACACACGCACACACATGCACAAAACGGTGTAAATCGCCAGGACACAAACACCTTCCAGCCAGTTTTTAAACTGCATGTAAGCCACAGACTCAATTCTGGCAACAAAAAGGCTCTAAGAGGCCACGCGATGATCCCTTCGGGAGAAAGACCCCATTTCTAGAGTTTTCCTGGGTTTTGTGTGGGAAATTTTTCTGCCTTTCTGAAAAGGTAGAATATAAATAAGATGATGTCCACATTCGGTGAGTTTATCTGCATAAATTATTGAAAAGCTGATGCACCCAGAGATGGTGCCACACTCGGGCCACTGTCCAAAGGCTTGACCGTCAGCAGCCGTCTTCATGAACAAGCACCTCCCTGGGTCTCGGACTCGCTTCCACTAACAGCAGCTCCATTTCACAACAATGTGAAGATTTTCAAGGCCTCCTGTCACCAACCGTTCACTCAGAACCGTCTGTGTCACTTCTCATTCCACAGGGGGTGCAGGTCTCGGAGTGTGAGGACACGCGATGCAAAGCCACGTGCCCGTGATGCGGGGAGGCAGCCGGTACCCCCGGCCGTGGCCTCTCTTCTGCCCGCTGGGACGTGACAGGCGGCCTCACGGGTAGAAGACAGGTGGTGTTGGAGGCTCCTGTCCACACTCGCTGTCGCTGGTGGACGTGCCCCGAAATCAGCATGTCTCAGGGCTGTCCCCGTCTCATATCCACCCCTTTGTGTCCCAGGATGGGACGCAGCTTCCATGTGGACGGTTGTGATGTTTGACAGGAAATGGTGGGCCAGGCTCTGTGGCTCTGCCTGCCTCGGGCCTTAGTGACATCTTCGCTCTTCAGTGAGAAACCTGCGGACAACCCTGTGCTCCGGGGTCACCGAGACCATGGCTCACGGATGCTTTGCCTGCACAACCTTGACTTATGCGCCACGACCTCTGGGCTTAGAGCCTCCACATTGCTTTCTTCTCAGGCCATGGCCCAGGTGACTCCACCAGGGCCCAGGGCGCCGATTTCCTGCTCCCGGGAAGTCAGGGGGCAGCAAGGCAGCTGTGCCATGACACAGGTGAGGAGCGTGTAGGGCCTGGGTGTGCTGAAGTCTGTCACCTACACACGTCCCCTGGCACTGTCGGTGCCGTCTGTGACTCAGCGACACACCCCGACTCTGTTCATTCCAATGCCTCCTGTTTCCTTGGACCCTACTTTCCAGAACTTTCCGAGTCGCATGGAAATTTCTAGACACAACATAAAAGACGGAACAGCCACAGGTCTCCAGCTGGTGGGACAGCACACAAGCGACTGAAACAGACTGGACGCCTGGGACACACGGGCCTGTGCTGTAGGTGAGGCCCGCGTCCTGACTCCTCGCAAGGTCCCTCCTCCTGATGACCGCCTGCCCCGCTCACACTCGGACCTGCACGCAGTGGCCACGCAGGGAGGAGGGCACATGTGTGGCTGGGTCAGACGCTGGCAGGAGCAGAGGCCTGAGGAACCCTGAGGGGCAAAGCTCCTGGGGTCAGAGGTCATGACCACTGTGCCCTCAGGCCTCCTCCTCAGGATGGCCCCGCAGTCCTCAGAGGGCAAGACTGTGAATTAAATGCCACTGTCTGAGGGGCTGGCAGGGTGGATGGAGGTGAGTCTCCTAGAAGCCAGGCCTGGCCTGGTGTTTGCCATCCACGACCCAAAGGACAGTCAGGGCAGAGCCGACAAAGGCGATGGGCCCCGGGGACCGCACAGGGGCTCCCTCACTGGCACATGGGCAATGCCAGTCAGATGCCCAGATGCCCCCAGGACAGACACCGGCCTGCCAGTCCAGGGGGGATTGTGTGTCCTGCCTCTGTGCTGACGTAGAGCAGAGTGCTGCATCCAGACAAGGGCTCAGTGTTCCTGGTGGAGAGGTGAGGCCGGCCAGTCGCTGGGACACCGAGCCGACCAGCCCGGGCACTGCCCTGCGGGCACTCGTGGTGCCCCAGGCCACAGCTGCTCAGGGGACAGTTATGTAACAACTCCAGAGGGGACATCCCTCCCACCCAGGGCCTCGTCTCAAACACAGAACAGCCTTTAAACACGGCAGGCAATGGTGAGAGCCGGGGCCTGGATGACAGTCCTGGCCCTCCGGCCCTGCCCTGACTCCTTGCCACTCAGGGCCGCTCGGCTGTGCAGGAGGGAGGAGAGAACACACCGAGCCCAGGCCCCACACAAGGTGCAGTCCTCGGGCTCACGAACGCGGTGGCCACAGGAAGTAAACAACCACCTGCCTGATGCCATGAAAGAGCAGAGGGCAGAGCCTGGCAGCCGAAGCCGACCCATGAAAAATTAATCCCCATTCCACGCAGGTCGGCAGCATGTGGCTGCGGGTCAGGCCTGCGTTTCAACTCCACTGTGTGGCCCCGGCTCCAGGTTCGGGGCCCCGAGCAGACTGGCAGCTGACTCAGATGCCTGGCTCCAAGATGGGCCTGGGGTGAAGCAGTAATTTACTTCAGGGACACCCATTTCTCTGGCTTTTGTGAAAACCCTGGTTTTCCAGGTTAATAATCCTGTCTCGAGCGTAGACAAATGAAATAAAAAGTGGAATGAAGTTTTGGGTGAAATAAAACATGCTGTGGGCAGGAGAAACAGGGAATTACTGTGTGTCCCCAGTATCCGAGCCCCTCCGGAGCCCAAGTCTCACAGTGCCGAGCACTCGGCTGCCCCTCGGGCCTGGGGAGGGCCCATCTTACAATGAAAATTTTAACGGCCTGACTCTGAATGCTGATTTTAACCATCTGACAAAAAGCAAGCTGCTTCCGGCCATGTTCATTCTGTGGGTTCAGCTCTCGAATGTGGGTATGACAGAAAGATATCTGCCATGGTCTTTGGGGCAACGTTAAGCCTAAAAGCCAAGCGCCCTCATTAAAGAGAGTCTCTCAGGACCACGCAGGGCACAAGCCACCTGCCTGAGCCCCAGCCTGAGGCTGGGATGATCCCCGGGCTAGGGTGGTGCCGGAGTCCTGCTGGGATCACCTGGCCCTCGGCTCCAGATTCCGTTCCTTCCTCAGCCAGACAGGGGTCACGTGGTCACTCATAACTGACCGGCAAACCTAAGATGCTGTTCAGGAATCAGCAAAGCCTCTGCTTCATGTTTCCATGGCCGATGAATTATTCATGCCAGCCTCCTGCATGCAGGGCTAGATGCTATCGAGGAGGTTATTTTGGTGACTTGGTAAACGGAGCTTCATCCTTTGACCCCCAGGTCAGAGACCAGTGATGGCCCCAGGGGGCTCCTCGTGCCCCCACAGGGGCAGGGACACAGGACACCCCAGAGCAGCTCTCTGGACGCTCACCCATCACGTTCTTATGGGGACGCGTGTGGAGGGCAGGGAAAAGGGACACACGAGGCCTTGGAGAGAGGCTGGAGGATGGCGGGAGGTGGGGCACCGGGACCACAGGACAGGAAACAGTGAATGGCGGGGATTCGGGACCCGTCAGCCTCCTGGAGCCCGTGTTCTCTCCTGCAGAAGGTGGTGGCACCAGATTCTGGGCTCCTCAGGGACCTAATTCTCTGGTTTATTAGTAAAAACACTGGAAGAGGCCGGGCCGTCCCGAATCTCTTGGAGAGGCACCTTCCACGCAGGTGATGGCCCCTGTCCGTCCTGTCCCAGAGAAGGTGGCGGAAACCACCCCTCCCCTGAGCCACTGACGGCCCAGACCAGCCTGCAGTTCCCATGGGCTCCATGGAGACCTGTGGGTGCCGTGACCGTGGGAGGGGGCGGAGGTGAGCAGCCCCCAGGGCCAGTGGTGACTTGAGAGCCTCAGCAGGGTCCTAAGTGGCGGGAAGTGTCCCAGACGCTCCTGGACACCTGCCCACTGAGTGGCTGGGCGAGCCACGGGCATCTGTGTCTCCTGACCCACCAGAAAGACGGTTACAGATTTCAGTTCACTGCCGTGGCAGATGCTGGAGAAGCGGCTGGGTCCTCACGCTCGGGCACTTGGGTGTCCCCTCCTGCAGACATCGGGGGCTCACTTCACGGACGAGCTCTTGGAAATGTGGAGGGAGGTCTGACCACCAGAGGCCCCTGGAGGATGGCATGTGTTTATCCAGCAGAAGCTCTGGGTTCGCTGGGTGGCTCTCCCGTGACCTGTGGGGACGGCGGTTCCGAACAGAACAGCGACCCAGCCACATCCGGGCTCAGGCATAGCCATCGTGGCCATTTCTGAAGGTGGTGAGGGCGCAGGCTCAGGTCCTGGTCAGCGGACGTGTGAAACAGGCCCCTCAGGGGGCAGGGCCATGGGAGCGGAGCCTTCACAGCAACGAAGAGAGCTTCTATTTCCATTGGCTTTATTCTAACTACGTGCAAATCCTGCTCTTATCCGACGAGTGGTCCACCAACCAAAAAAGAAAACAAACCCCCCAAATCCCTTCCTTTTAACTGCTCGCCTCACACCTGCTCAGACTCACGCTGGCCCAGAGGGGTCAGAAAGCTCTCGATGGCTGACCTCTCGCAGACGGAGCTGCCGACAAGCATCTGACATCTTGTGTCCAGGCACTGATGGGGGGGTCCTTCTGTCTAAACACAGAGCCAGCCTCTCCCACTCTGCCATCACTTAATTTAAAGTAATTTCTGGGGATACATTTTAATAAGATATTTTATTACCGGTGCCCCATGCTGTCCACACAAACGGTGACACCCCGAGGGCCCAGGACACTGGGGTGGTGGAGCTGGACACCTGCCCTCCGCGCGCCCATGGGACAGTCGCAGCCACCCATGAGGGATGGCCACCACCACACCCCACGCCTGCATCAGGGGTGTCCGCCGTGTCCCTCCCGGCCCAGCGCCCCGCCCGATGCCCTCGCTGTCATTC